AGCTGAGCGCGGAGGGCACGCCCTACGTGGCGCCAGGCGGGCGTTGGTCCCAGTTCAAGACCTACTCCACCTTCCAGCGCACCTGGGACATCTGGGGCTTTGGCCTCGCCTTCTTTTTCAAGCTCTGGTGCATCAACCAGGTGGGGGGTAAAGGCGGCCGGGAGCGGGCAAGGGAAGGGGCCGCTGTGCGCAAGGGGCAATGATGTGCGGCGCGGCAGCGGCTGCGCCGGGCACGCCGGGGGCGGCGGCTGCTGGCTGAGCACCACCGCTTTCCTTTATTCTATCCTCTATGTTTCTTCAACTGGTTTTTGTACGCTTTCCGTTCCTTTCCCCCTCCCAACCACGCACGCATGAGCAGAAGTGGTGGTACGGCAAGGAGGGGATGAGCGAGGGGGCGGTGAGCGGGCAGCGCGCCGCGCTGGCGGCCTGGCTGCGCGAGGGCCTCGTCAAGCTGGGGCCCACCTTCATCAAGATCGGCCAGCAGTTCTCCACGCGCGTGGACGTGCTGAGCCCGGAGTTCATTAAGGAGCTGGAGAAGCTGCAGGTGAGCGGGCCGCGCCTCCTTCTTCCTTCCTTTCTTGTTTTTGCTAGCTTGTTTTCTTTTAGGTGGAGGGGTGGTGGTGGTGCGTAGGGTAGAACTCGTGAAGGGGCAAGCAGCAGCAGCAGCAGGCCGCCGCGCCTGCCGGCACAGCCCTGGCAGCGGTGCAGCAGCTGAGGGTGCACGCAGGCGTGCGGCGGCCAGCCGGCCGCGGCCGCCGCCTCTTCCACGCCGCCGCCTCCACGCCGCCGCCTCCACGCCGCGCCTGCCTGCTCGCTCCTGCAGGACAACGTTCCCGCCTTTGAGAGCGAGACGGCGGTACAGATTGTGGAGAGCACGCTGGGCAAGCCGCTTGACCAGCTGTTCGAGGAGTTTGACCCGCAGCCCATCGCCGCCGCCTCCCTGGGGCAGGTGCACGTGGCGAAGGTGGGTGGGCACCGGCGGTCTGGGGCATAGGGTTGGGCGGCTCATCCAATGCTCATCCAATGGGGGCATAGGATGAGTATAGGACTTACCTGGGGCGTGCCTTCCTTCCCAGCGGCCCGGGCGGCGGCCGGCAGCGGCGGCGCGGCGTTGCGCTCATGAGGGGGGGCCTGCCTGCCTGCCTGCCTGCCTCGCCGGGGCAGGCCCAGGCGGGTGAGGCCCAGGCAGGCTGCTGGGGAGGATGGCGCCTGGGGGGGTGCCGACCAACCCCCCTCCCCTCCTCCATCCGCGCACCTGCACACACACACACACACACACACACCTCCCCACGCGTCCCCTGTAGATTGGCGGGGAGAAGGTGGTGGTCAAGGTGCAGCGGCCGGGGCTGAAGGACCTGTTTGACATCGACCTGAAGAATGTGCGGGTGCTGGCGCAGTTCCTGCAGAAGGTGCGGGGAAGCTGCAATACGTTACTTAATGCGCCCCGCCCGGGCATGTGTGTGCGCGGGAGGTGTGTGTGTGGGGGGGTGCCTGGGGCTGCTGTAGCGGTTGCTGCAGCAATCGGGTGCTGGCTGGCGGTGAAGTTGCGGTGTGATTGGGGTGGGCGTGTGGGCTGGGCGGGGCGGCCGTGCCTGGGCTACGCTGGGGCCGGGCCCGCCAGCGGGCGCCGGCACGGCGGCGTGGAGCAGCCC